TCCTCCTGAACAGCAATGGAAAGACCTCTCAATACCTGGTTTCCCGAGCAAGCTGAGTCTGCCAAGAGTCCAGAGACCAATGCCTGGGTTTGGCGACCCCCTTCTACAAAAGTAGAACGTCAGACCAACAACCATCTGAACATCTCAAGCTGTATCCCTTTTGCTTTCAACAGCTAAGATTTATTGGGCAAGTGTGTTTGTTTTTCAAACATGAATTTCTACAGGGAGAAATCTATGTTTTCCCTTTTAGTATTGACCTTATTGAGGTTTATAAAATCATAAGGAGCATAGTGAGATGAATAGCCAAAGTCTTTCCCGCAGGGTAGGGATTTAAGATGAGAGAGGAAAGATATGAAAGGGACCTAAAGGGCAATTTTTTCATGCAGAGGGTGGGGGTGCATGTATAGAACAAGCTGCCAGAGGAGATAGTGGAGGCTGGTACAACTATAACATTTAAAAGGCATCGATGGGTACATGAATAGGAAGAGTTTAGAGGGATATGGTCTAATTGCTGGCAACCGGAACTAGATCAATTTAATAAATCTGGTTGGCACGGACAAGTTGGACCGAAAGGTCTGTTTCCGTGCTGTATAACTCTACAACTCTAAATCCCTCTGTGCTGCAGCTTTCCCTATTTAAATAATATTCACCTCCTTTATTCTTCCTGCCAAAGTGCATAACATATTCCATCTACTGAATTTTTTCCCCTTCTCCTGACCTGCCTGTTTCCCTCTGCAAACTCTCTGTGTCATCCACATTACTTGCCTTTCTATCTGTTTTTGTGTCATTTACAGAATTGGCTTTGTACATTCCCTTCCCTTATCTAAGTCATGAATAAATATTTTAAATAATTATGACCCTGTCACTCATTCCACTAGTTATAGTTTGACATCCTGAAAATGCCCTTCTTATCCCAACTTCCTGTCTTCCATTTGTTCACCAATTCTCTATCCATGTTAATTACTACCTCCAAAACCAGGGGTCTCATTAAGTAGCCTAGCAAGAGTTACCTTATCAAATGTCTTATGGAAATCCAAATACATTAGATCTATTGTTTCCCCTTTCTCTATCCTGTTTGTTACTCTCTCAAAAAAATAATAAATTTGTCAGATATGATTTTCCCTTCTTAAAGCCATGCTGACTCTGCTTGATCATGTTATGACTATCTAAGCACTTTGCTATACCATCCTTTGTAATAGACTTTAACATTTTGCCAATGGCAGATGTTAAGCAAATTGGTCTATAGGTAACAAGGTGTAGAGCTGGATGAACACAGCAGGCCAAGCAGCATCAAAGGAGCAGGAAGGCTGATGTTTCGGGCCTGGACCCTTCTTCAGAAAAAGCCATGTGGAACATCTAGAAAAGAGGAAGAAGGAAGCTTACTTAAGGTTGAGGAGGCAAGGATCAGACTGGGTTCTAGAAGGCTACAAGGTAGCCAGGAAGGAACTGAAGAATGGACTTAGGAGAGCTAGAATGGGGTTTGAGAAAACCTTGGTGGGTAGGATTAAGGAAAACCCCAAGGCATTCTATACAAGAGGATGGCCAGAGTGAGGGTAGAGCCAATCAGGGATAGTGGAGGGAACTTGTGCGCGGAGTCGGAGGAGGTAGGGGAGGTCCTTAATGAATACTTTGCTTCAGTATTCACCAGTGAGAGGGACCTTGACGTTTTGTGAGGACAGCATGAAACAGGATGATATGCTCAAACAGGTTGATGTTAGGAAGGAGGATGTGCTAGAAATTTTGAAAAACATGAGGATAGATAAGTCCCCTGGGCCAGACAGAATATACACAAGGTTTCTACGGGAAGCGAGGGAAGAGATTGCTGCCCCTTTGGCAATGATCTTTGCATCCTCACTGTCCACTGGAGTAGTACCAGATGATTGGAGGGTGGCAAATGTCATTCCCTTGTTCAAGAAAGAGAATAGGGATAATCCTGGGAATTACAGACCAGTCAATCTTACTTCTGTAGTAGGCAAATTATTGGAGAGGATGCTGAGAGATAGTATTCATGATTATTTGGACAAGCACAGTTTGATTAGAAATAGTCAGCATGGCTTTGTGAGGGGCAGGTCATGCCTCACAAGCCTTATTGAATTCTTTGAGGATGTGACAAAACACAGTGATGAAGGTAGAGCAGTGGATGTGGTGTATATGGATTTTAGCAAGGCATTTGATAAGGTTCCACATGATAGGCTCATTTAGAAAGCAAAGAGGCATGGGATCCAGGGAAATTTGGCTGTCTGGATACAGAATTGGCTGTCCAATTGAAAACAGAGGGTGGTAGTTGATGGAAAGTATTCAGCCTGGAGCTCGGTGACCAGTGGTGTTCCACAGGGATCTGTTCTGGGACCCCTGCTCTTTGTGATCTTTATAAATGACTTGGATGAGGAAGTGGAAGGGTGGGTTAGGAAGTTTGCCAATGACACGAAGGTTGGTGGAGTTGTGGACAGCGAGGAGGTCTGTTGTAGGTTGCAACGGGACATTGACAGGATGCAGAGCTGGGCAAAGAAGTGGCAGATGGAATTCAATCCAGAAAAGTGTGAAGTGATTCATTTTGGAAGGTTGAGTTTGAATGCAGAATACAGGGTTAATGGCAGAATTCTCGGCAGTGTGGAGGAACAGAGGGATCTTGGGGTCCACGTCCATAGATCCCTCAAAGTTGCTACCCAAGTTGATAGGGTTGTAAAGAAGGTGTATGGTATGTTGGCTTTCATTGGCAGGGGAATTGAGTTTAAGAGCCGCGAGGTTATGCTGCAGCTCTATAAAACCTTGGTTAGACCACACTTGGAATATTGTGTTCAGTTCTGGTCGCCTCATTATAGGAAAGATGTGGAAGCTTTAGAGAGGGTGCAGAGGAGATTTACCAGGATGCTGCCTGGACTGAAGGGCAGGTCTTATGAGGAAAGGTTGAGGGAGCTAGGGATTTTCTCAACCAATACAAAGAAAGCTACCCCCACCCCTTCCTTTCTGACAGTCCTTTTGAAATGTAACATACCGCTGAATATTTATTTCCCAGATTTGATCTCCTTATAACCATGTCTCGACCATGGGTACAAAGTCATACCCGTTAACCCGTATTCGTGCTGCTAATTAATCCATTTTGCTCAGAATAATACGTGCATTCAAGTAAAGAGCCATTAATCTTGTCTCCCCCAGCCCTGACCCTATTTATTGCTTTTTTTCTATGATTGTATCCCTTCTTGTCCCACTCTGAGTATTGTTGTTCAAACAGCTGCCCTGCAATGCTGCCATATACTTTTGCTTTGTAAGTCTACATTTCTCCTCTCCCAAACCCTTTAATTTGTTTAAAGTTCCCTCTATAACCCTAAGATATGCAGAGTGAACACACTTACAATTCAAATGCTGGCCAAAGACGATTTGCCCTATGACAAAATGATGCTTGCAAGTTGAACAGTAGCATCTGAAAAATGCAGAAATTAGCAGCAAACTCTTGTGTAAAAGTGACTCATAAAGTGTAAAAGTTGTACAGTGGTGTGGCAGACAGACGCTATCCCTCAATCATCTGTCACGTAAGTATTCCAACAGACTATTCCAAATTGAAGGACAGGTTTCCTGGTTGATGTGGATCTGGGATGGGAAGGAGGTCAGAGCACTACACACACTGTATTTTTATGTAACATGGTGGTAACTCACCCAGCACAGCACCTTCACTGAGTTCCTGCAGAATCTGAGGCTGAATGAATAATGGAGACATTATACCAGACTTCCATCCATTGACTCCGTCTATACTTCCCACTCCCTCGGGAAAGCAGCCAACATAATCCAAGACCCCTCCCACATTGGTTATACTCTCTTTTACCCTCTTCCATCAGGTAGAAGATACAAAAATTTGAAAACACGACCCAACAGGTTTAAAAACAGCTTCTTCCCTGTTGTTATCAGACTTTTGAACGGATCTCTCATATATTAGAGTTGATCTTTCTCTGTACCTTCTCTGTAGATGTAACACTAAATTCTGCATTCTGTTCTATTACCCTGGTGAACTTATGTAACGCATGATTTGTCTAGTTACTACGCAAAACAATACTTTTCACTGTATCTTGGTACGTGTGACAATAATAAATCAAATCAAGTGAAGACATGGCCCTCATTACTGGGATGCAACACACCTCACTGTTTGGAGGAGTGTGTGCAGTCCTCATCTGCAGTGTTACACTGCCAGTGATTGTGCGCGGAGCTAGGAACCTGTTTCACTCCTCCTGTTCCCAATGTCATTCCTTTCCACTAACAGTACTGCTCCAAGCTGTTGCTGGGAGACTGATTGCTATGGCTGCTTTCCTCAAAACGTAAAGGCGGATGTCGGAGGCTCAGGGATGAAGGCAAGCCCAGGAGAATCAGCACACTCCCGCGGAGGATGAGGGGCCCTGAGCTCAGAGAGAGGTCACAGCCACATGGCCGACATGAAGACCAGAGATTTTCACCCGCTCTTCCTCCCCTGGTGATGAGTGAGTGCGGTGTTGAATCAGGCTCCTTATGTCCAGGGACACTGTGATGGAACTGTACCAGATATTGGAGAGGACCTGCAGGCTGCAGGAGTGGGGCGTTACCCTCTCCCTGTGCCTGGGAAGGTGCTAGCTACTCTGATCCTCGATGTGACAGGCTCCTTTCAAGGAGTAATGGGTGACCCCGGTTGTGGGATCTCTCTGTTGTGTACCCCAATGCATCAAGGTCACATTCAACCTCTATGACAGGGTCAGTGCCCCAGCCCAGACTGGAATTGAATTGAATTAACTTTATTGTCACTTGTACTCAAATGAATCCAGTGAAAAGTTTCTAAGTTGCCACTTACAGTGCCATCTTAGGTACCAAGGTACCGAGGTACAATCCTTAGTTACAGAATAGAGAAATGAAGGAAGAAGAGTTACAGTACAGCTATACACAGTATAACCATAGGTCAGAAAAACAAGAAGCAAAGTTAAAAGAAAAACATCTCAGTCTCTCTTCAAAGGCTTTCCACAGCAGACCAGCATCGGGATCCTTCACGTGGTCTGACCGCTAGCTGCTCCCATCCGCTCCGCACTAGGCCCCTGTCCCCGCTCTGCACTGGGCCCCTGTCCCTGCTCTGCACTGGGCCCCTGTCCACTGTCTCCGCTCTGCACTGAGCCCCTGTCCCCGCTTCGCACTGAGCCCCTGTCCCCGCTCCGCACTGGGCCACTGTCCCCGCTCCGCACTGGGCCCCCATCCCCGCTCCACACTGGGCCCCTGCCCCTGCTCCGCACTGGGCCCCTCTCCGCTGTCCCTGCTCCGCACTGGGCCCCTGTCCGCTGTCCTTGCTCTGCACTGGGCCCCTGTCCCTGCTCCACACTGGGCCCCTGTCCCCGCTCCACATTGGGCCCCTTTCCACTGTCCCTGCTCCGCACTTGACCCCTGTCCCTGCTCCACACTGGGTTGCTGGTTGCTGGTGTCCCCCACTTCGGAGACTGGGAGTTGAAGGTCAGGGCCACGTGTCCGAGGCCGAGGGAAGACTCTTTTTCGCAGAGTTGAAATGTTTAAAACTAGGGGGCATGCATTTAAAGTGAGAGGGGGAACATTCAAAGGAGACATGAGGGGCAAGTATTTTACACAGAGAGTGGTAGGAGTGTGCAACGCACTGCCTCGGGCAGTGGTGGAGGCAAATACAATAGGGGCGTTTAAGGGGCTTTTACATAAACACATGAATATGCAAGGAATGGAGGGATATGGGCCAAAGACAAGAGGAAGGGATTAATTTAATTTGGTGTCATGTTCAGCACAACATCATGGGCCGAAGGGCCCGTTCCTGTGCTGTGCAGTTCTATGCTCTACTGGGGGAAAGAGGGAGAAAAGAAAGGAAAAAGAATGGGAGGAGCAGATGAGCTCTGACTGGAGCATCCTAGCCCACCGCTATCCTACCGGAGAATTCCGGAATGTAGCTGGAATCGCCCAGGGGCAGGCTGCCATTGGCTGCACACACATGGCACTAAGAGGACCATATCACTGTGGAACTCATCAAAAAGAAGGATTTCCATTCCATATGATCTGGGATGCTAGCTCCACTTCCTGGAGGGGTGTGTCCTCTAACCTGACAGCTGCTTAGGGTATTTGAGGGTCCAGGGGCCTTAAGAGGCTTGTTGCTGGGGGCAAGGGCCACCCATTGCAATCATAGCTCATGACACCATTGTGGAACTCCCTGTCTGATGTACAGCAGAGATACAATGGTGCCCATGCTTCGACCAGAGCCATGAAGCTGCTGCTGAAGATGTGGTTCCACTGCTTGGGCTGGTCAGGGGTGGGAGTGGGGTAGGGGACAGGTTGGTGGTGGTGCTCTTGTATTGTCTGGACACAGCGTACTGCACACTGCACAACTGCAACAGGCAAAGTGTCCATGTGCTGGGAGGCGGGAAACCGGGGGAAATGGAAGCAGTCGCCTGAGGATGAGAAAGGGGATGAGGACATTGAGGAGGAGGAGGTGGATGAGGACAATGAGGAGGAGGTAGATGAGGACAATGAAGAGGAGGAGGTGGATGATGACATTGAGGAGGAGGTGGTGGATGAGGACAATGAGGAGGAGGAGGTGGATGAGGACAATTAGGAGGAGGTAGATGAGGACAATGAAGAGGAGGAGGTGGATGACGACATTGAGGAGGAGGTGGTGGATGAGGACATTGAGGAGGAGGAGGTGGATGAGGACAATGAGGAGGAGGAGGTGGATGAGGACAATGAAGAGGAGGAGGTGGATGACGACATTGAGGAGGGGGTGGTGGATGAGGACATTGAGGAGGAGGAGGTGGATGAAGATATTGAGGAGGAGGTAGTGGATGAGGACATTGAGGAGGAGGTAGATGAGGACATAGAGGAGGTGGTGGATGTGGACATTGAGGAGGAGGAGG